ATTTTTGTACCAGAACTAGCAAAATAACCACAGGCCTGATTGTGTTCCAATTTTGTATGTGTATGAAGACCATTGTGTAGTAGATTCCCCCAAAAACCCAAGGCCGTAGGCCCAAAGGCCAAGGGCAGATAACTGAAAAACAAGTATTTTTTACGATATATTTTGCCCTGCTGCTCCTAAACCGTTTGTCCGTTTACTTCAAAACCTTGCATGTGTCTGCTGCTTCAGTTCCTTGACAATTTTTTTTCTTTGACTTTGGTCATTGATCACGTGGTTTGGCAGCCATATTGGATTCAAAGTTTTCACAGGGTTTTGGGGGTACCTGTCTTCAAAGCCTATCTCCTCTGACTCCACTGCATGAAATGTATCCAAAAACTTTCTGAGAATTGTCTCCATACATACCACATCAAACTCTGTTAGCCGATTTTGGATATCTTTTTTAATTGCTGCCATATTGGATTCAAAGTTTTCACAGTGTCTTTTTGGTACCTGTCTTCAAAACTTATCTCCTCTGAATCCACTGCATGAAATGATTTCAAACCTTTTGAGAATTGTCTCCTTACATAACACATCAAACTTTGTTAGCCGTTTTTAGATATCTTTGTTAGTGACGGCCCTATTGGATTTTGATTTTGATGATTTTTTTCATCGAAATTTTACTTCATATAAGGATCATATCTTATAAGGTTCTCCACAGAAACTATTGAAAGTTTACATGAAGTTAGTCGGACATACGTACCTCATCTTTTGTTCTTGGTTGCATGCCAAAAGTAATACTGTTTGGTGGTAATATTGACAAAATACAGAATAATTCGCTCAGAAAACCTAGGAATATCTCCCCTTCACTGTCTAGTGTCTTTTGCAGTATATATACTACCCTTGAAGATGAGGGTTAGAATTGGTCTTCAGCAGCCAATGCTTGGCCTAAGAGGCCATTATCGGGATTCGAACATTGTCTGGGTGGTAAATGGGTTTAGAACAGTCTGGTTAACTCTGGTCCACGCCAATTTCGTAGCGGTGATGTCCTGCAAACGGTGACTATCTTTGGACGGATGTGGTACAAGCAAACTATTCGAGGATTCGAACATGTGGATTCGAGGTCGGACATGGGTTAAGAACTGACTGGGACCCATGTGGTGATGTCTCGCAAGCGGTTCCTTACGTTTGACGGCGTTAGTACAGGCAAACCATATGCGGATTCGAACCTGGACGGCGTCTGAAATGGGTGAAGAACATCCTAGGACGTTCTGGGACACGCCAGTGTCGTAGCGGCGATGTCTCGCAAGCGTTTCCTTACTTTTGATGGCGTTGGTACAACCAAACCATTTGGGGATTCGAATATTGACAAGGTTTAGCAATTTATCTAAGCAGTGCGACAGAAACCCGGGGTCCCGACAAACTAAGAACGCTGATCCATATGACTGAAGCTCAAATGACAAAGAAGTGACAACCTGTTAAAGAGTCACCAAGCAGAAAGGCTGGCTGTAGAACCCTATTGTAATCGTTCAATTTAATATAATTATTATTCCGCCGATTTTTGTACCAGAGCTAGATGGCTTGATTTTGTTCAATTTTTGTATGTGTATGTAGACAGTTGAGTACTAGATTCCGCCTAAATCCCAAGGCCGTAGGCCAAATAGCAAAGTGCAGATAACTGAAAAAGTATTATATAAAGATAAATTGCTCCAAAACCGCTTGTCAGATTACTTTCAAAACATGGATTTTTCTGCTGCGTTAGTTACTTGACATTTCTTGTTCTTTGACTTTGGTCATTGGTCACCTGGCCATATTGGGTTCAAGGTTTTTAAGGTGCATGTCTTTAAACGCAAACTCCTATGCATCTGCTGCATGAAATGATTTCAAACACACAACACAACAAACACTAATAGCCGTTTTTGGATATCCTTTCTAGTTGCGGCCATATTGGATTCAAAATTTTCACAGTGTCTTATTGGATTTTGGTTTTGATAATTTGTTTCGCCAACATTTTACTTCAAAGATCATATCTTGCTAGGTTGTTGACAGAAAATATTGCAAGTTTACATGAAGTTAGTGGGCCATATGCATCTCATTGTTTGTTCTTGGTTGCATGCTAAAAGTAACATAGCTTGGTGGCTATATTTGATTAATATTTTGGATACCCCTGGAACACGCCAATTTCGTAGCGGAGATGTCCTGCAAACGGTAACTATCTTTTGACGTACAAGCAAACCCTTTAATGATTCGAACATGTTCGAGGTCGGAAATAGGTTTAGAATAGAATTGCACATGCAATTTTCGCTGCAAACGATGTTCTGCAAACGGTTGATCTCGTTTGACGGAGTTGGTACAAGCAAACCCTTTAAGGATTCAAACATGAGGATTCGAGGTCGGAAATGGGTATAGAACAGCCTTGGACACCCCGGCACATGCAAATGTTGCTGCGGCAATGTCCGCAACCGGTGCTTACATTTGACAGCGTTGGTACAAGCATACCCTTTGAGGATACGATGTCATGCATGGGATAACTTACTTCTGTCGGCGTTGGTAAAAGCAAACGTTTTTGGTTTAGTGCACCCTGGGATCCTCTGGTACACGCTAATGTCGTGTCGGTGCCTTACTTTTGACGCCGTTGGTACAAACAAACCATTTGAGGATTCGAATATGGTTGATATCGGAAATGGTTTAAGAACGCGGTGGGATATTCACACACCAATTTCGTAGGGGCGATATACCGATGCTTAACTTTTGACGGCGATGGTACAAGCTAACCATTCGTGGATTCGAACATTTGTTTGTGCATAAGCTTGTGGGCACCATCGTTTGTACGAGAGCACGCTTGTGTGTACATTTGAGCGTGTGGGCATACGTATGTGCGGTGTATCTGTGTGTACGTCTGTTTGTGCGTGCTTTTTGGTGTTTTAGCAGTTTTCTCACGATTTGTCTACCAAAGTATTTTTTCTCTCAAACTATATGAGCAAAGGCTTTGATGACTGGTACAGATACAAGGGAACGATATCCTGATAAGGAGGGGACTCTTTCTTGGACTATTATTCAAAAGGGTTCCGTGAAGATCCGGGTTAGAATAGGTCTCCAGGCAACCCATGGTTGCGGGCGGTATGCTTGTGGTAAAAGGAGACTAATGGGATCGGGCGGTCAGACCCGCTGACTTGGTTGATCACCTCATCCCAGTTGCGTAGACCCATGACGATCCGGAATCCAAATAGAGTGGATCGATGCTCATGTTGTCAATCACTGGATTGCCTGGTCCACACTCGATAATTAACAGACCACTGTCTTATAGTTGGAAAATTAACAAATAGGACAACAAATAGGATTTTACCTCCGATCGATTATTTAAAGAAATAACATCAGGCTGAATAATTAACATTTGTTTATATTTCAAGAAGCATGATAGATAACTGAAAACAGAACATTGTTATTAAACAAATTCTGACACATGTAACTTTGTTGTGCTTCACATAAAAAAAGTCATTTATAAAAATAGATATCATTTTGGGGGTGGGCTGAAATAGGACACACACGTTTACAGTCTTTAGACACATTTGGCCATGGAGAGCAAATCTTATGCGCTGTTATTATCATAACACGTTCCACAAGATAGATCACTGCATGCACGTAGCATGTTTTGGTGTACATACTACTCTTAAGGACAGTAAATTATGGCTTGATAGAAGTTTAAGTTACTGCACCAAAACTGCCCTTGAAAAACATAAGATGATGAAATTCTCAATGGTAATTCTATGTGTTATATACCCTCTTGGAAATAAATAAGGGAACACTGAATCTATTACAACATTACATAAAATTGTGAAAGGGGTCGATTTCTGATCACAAAATTGATCATGGATGAATGAAGAACTGAAGTTTGTAATGTCTTTTTCAATGATGAACCCTAAAGGAATTGTCCCAGAATTCACAACTGTTATACTAGTGCTGGACAAGTCACTGACAACACTTCATGATGTGACATGGTGACTTTGGAGTACCATTTCAAACACTGGTCCAAACAAATTGGAGACAAATACTGTTGTTCACAGCCAGGAATCCCTTTAAAGGGAGAGTGATCACAAAAAAAGTCTTGTCATACATTTGTCATCAGTGAAGGTGAAGGTCACGACATTCTGTGACTCTCCCACAAGTCAACAGTGATTGTTCAGTTGCTACTTGTACCAGGTGATGCCCACTGGTTGCATCAGAGAGATAACAGTTTGGGTTGATAGAAGATATGCTTGGTAATAGATGACACGGTATTGGTAGTCTCTTAGTGATTCGTCATCTGTTAAACTCTCATTGAGTCTGCAGGAAACGTCATCTTGCAATTTCTTCGTTTACTTATAAATTGATGTCTCTTCAACTGGCATGTGCTGTATTCGAGAAATGTTTTCAAATACAAGGTAATCCATTCAATTTTCAGTCTAGAAAATTGTCATTTACCGTTCAAAGAACATGTTGAAGCAGAACCACTCAGATCCAATTCAGGTCAATCCGCTAGCAATGTGGAGAAATCAGTGATGTTTTCTTCTTAACCACCTGTTCACACAATAATACAACAGGAGATTGCTGCCGTCATCAAACTCTTTCACTGAACTTGTTTTGATTATTAGCATGATAAGTATTCCCTATTTTATTTAAAACACATCACACAGCAAGAACATGGCTAAGAGGAGCATTACACAATCATAATAAAGTCGTACATTAAAATAGACACATGTAAAATTTCATCATCTTTCAAAATGCATTATCACCTCACCTAATTGACACTTGAAAATTCATAAATCAGTTGAATTGTACATAGGTTAATAAACATGATAATGGCCACACAAATTATTTTCTGAATACATCTTTGGTTCAGGTCAGTTAAAATATATACATAAAGAAACAAATTATTTACAATGACGTATATACATGGCGTACCAGTATGTACAGGTGGGCCCTTCCTGTCAATACCATACCCCTACCCCCTACCCAAATTGCTTTCATCTTTTTTACAGTTTGATTCATAGTTTGATTTCAATGGCTTCATGGTAACCATAGTATGTTGGAAGAATCTGCACAGATACATTCTCAAGTCCTCGGACATATACATGGTCAATAAGCGTTCCACTTTCAGTGGTAGATCCTGAAACGATTTGTGTGAAACCATTCGATTCCATCAAAGTCTGTATGGAAGATGACGAAGAGACATTCTCATTGAAATCACCCATGATAATCGATCGAGCAGAATGCTTTTCAAGTTCCTGAACAAGTTGCAATAAATGCTTCCTGAAAATATCAGCTTTGAATGAGGTTGGCCTGTAGATGATAACAACATGAGCTTGCAGTTCCATGACATAAAATGGCAGATACTCCAAATTGGATACTGGAAACTGAGGAAATTCACAAGCTGTGTCTTCACTACAATAAACTCCAACGCCACCATGACTTTGATTCTTTAATTCCATCAGTATTGGTTCACACGATTCATAGGACTGTGCTCTGGGTTTATGATGCAATGTAAATCCATCAAGTTTTGGTTCATCAAGTGGATGTGTATCAGATAACCATGTTTCTGTCAAGCAAATGAAATCGGCCTCTAAAACCCTCCGGTCATTCTGCAAATCTTGAATATGTGATTGAAGGCCCTCAATGTTTTGCATAATGAATGTACATGTAGCATGACCATCATATGTTTTCTGATTTGCATTCATAAACTTTGGCATACTAGACACTGCTGCCTCGACCTTTTCACGACTGTATATGACCGACTCTTTGAAATTCTCAATGATTAGACCTCCAAGAGAGGATACTCGACTTAATGCCACATAAGCTTGTCCTGCTGCAAAGATCTTGCCCAATGAAACGACAGCTTTGTTCACTGTTATGCCTTGTACTTTGTGTATGGTGCAAGCCCAGGCTAGTTTGAGTGGAAATTGTCGTCTGATGCCTCCATTGTTTGAAACAGTTTCCTCAAGTGGTGCAATGGGAGTACTGTTTGTTTGTAAAGCAGATGCTGTCCCTTTCAGTTTGCGTAATTTGTGACCAACTTTATCATTGTCAAACACAACATATATTCTCGAAGGAAATGCTTCACCATCATTCAAAGATATGTGGCTAATAGTTCCAAAGACTCCATTCACAAGACCATCTGATGTATCAATATTTTTAGTGATCATCACACGAGCACCAATTGCTACAAATAGACTTTTTTGTAAGACTGAGTTATAAACTTTCACATGAGGGTTTTCTCTCTTTTCAAGCTTTCCTGTTTTTAGGTTTCTTGAGAAATCTTGTGCTTGAATGGAAATTGGATCTGTACATTTAGAATGAAGGGCAGTGACATTGAATTCATCAACCTGAGCGTTTGTCGCAAAAATGTGAATGCAATCAGCATCGTTTTCACCAGTTTCTTGTCGCATGAGCATATTGATATCATTTGTTTCAAGAGGCTCTGATCTCTTTCGTGTTCGTAACCGATTCAGAAGTTGTGCAAATGCAGGGTCTTTTTGTTTCATGATCGTGGTCAATTCTGTGACAGAGAAATTGTCATTCCACAGGTCATATCCATTTGTGCCAACATATAAAGGTCTACCCTTAACGGGTGGTAACTGATAAAAGTCTCCAACAGCAATCACGGATACATTTCCAAATGGCGAATAATCAGAAGTTTGTTTAATCTGTCTTAGTCTGCCATGAATGTATGATAACAGCTTGTGATCAACCATTGATATTTCATCGATGATAAGTATATGAATACTTTGCAGCTTTGATCGAAGGCTATTGACCTTTTCCTCACCAAGTGGTTGGTATGGCAGTTTTGCATCAATTCCAATTGAGAGTGCACTGTGTATTGTGGATGCATTAATGTTAAATGCTGCAACACCAGTTGGAGCTACCAAAAGTACGGAGATATCATCTGGATTGCTTTGGATGGGGGCTAGAAGTCGTGTAGATTCATAGCAAATTGCCTTGATCAAATGGCTTTTTCCAGTACCAGCTCCACCAGTCAGAAATAGCTTAAATGCATCAGGATTTTTGCCATTCTTTTTATCCAAACACCATTGTCTTATTTTGTAGAAAACATCAGCTTGTTCCTCATTCATTGATCTCAGTATTGTTTCTGCTTCTTGTCTTGACACTGTACTCTGAAGTACCTCTGTTTTAGATAGTGTGTTATCAGTCTGGAGCAAATCAGGCATGTTTCTAACAGATTCAATTTCTGTTTCCTCATCGGACATACATGTATGTGCATCTTCACATTCTAGTCTTGCAGATTCAGTCTCTGGACAAATTTGAGCCCAAGCATCTTCCAATTGACCAGATTGTTCAAACAAGTCCTTTGCGTCATCAATGACTTCAGCATCCTGCTCAAACATGGCTTTGTTTCTGTCAACAATGTCTTTCACAGTTTCTACAGGACAGTTTGCAATCTGGACAGCACCAGTTCGATAGAATTCTTCATATGAATTGAAGGCGGCTGGTTTTAACTGAGTATCAAATGTATATGGCAAGAATAGCTGCAGCATACTGTGATAGTATTTCTCAGGATCCTTTGTACGGGAAAATCTGGCATATCTGATAATTGCTGCATCAGTTCGAGTACGTTTTTTCACGTGACCAAGGCCATTTTGCAATGTTACAAGTGGACTATGCCGTTTTTCATCAGACACCCTCGCTACTTCAGATTTTGACACCACTCTGTATTCTGAGCAAAAAGTAGCAAGACACATGTTATTGAACTCATCACATTTGGGTCTACTCTCATATCGATCAACAATGCTTGTCATCCACATTTCATCTTCATCTAGTTCACCACTCTGTTGTTTGTTTTTCAAAGTTTCGAGAGGCAAACTCATTCTGACAGGGTCTACGGTTGGTATGAACTGTACTTTACGTGATCCTTCCTTCAATCTCAAATTGCAAACTCGAAACACAGCTTCCTGAGCACTCACTTCTCGATTGTGTAAGTACACAGCACCAATTTTCTTCAAAGCAGATTTTGCATCAGTATTATCCTTATTTGCTTCCTTTTGTGCTTGATTCAACAGTAATCCCATTTCTCTTTCTGCCTTTGAGATATATGAAATGATGTACACAACACAAGAGTAGGCATCAACAACATACTGAATGTCCATGTTTGCGTTCCAGCATCTCAGGAGATCTGCATTGTACTGATTCACCCATACATCATTTGGCTTGCGTTTCAAGACAACATTTGTTTTTGTGGCTAGGGTTGCACATGCTATTTCAAACATATCTTGTGAAATACCGACAGCAGTGAATAATGCATCAACTGACTCAAATGTTTGCTCATCATTTGTTAGTGCTTGCCAAATCAGTTTCAAAATTGCTTTTGCATCAATGTTGGTCATCAGTTTGACAGATTCACAAGTTTGTTCCAAGGTGTTTGGCTCATCTTTATTTTTTCCATTGATATCTTGACCACCTGGTCGTGAAATGAAAGTTTCACTGCTTGGTGGACGAGGGAAATTGAACCTGCATGTTGTGCCATTTTTCTTACATGTCTTTGAATGTCTTGTGCTATGTTTCTGCACACTGTTGACAATATTGTACAATTCTTCATCAATCTCAACTGAAGGCATTTCACATGTGACGTATTTGTCAATGAAGGATTTTACTGCTTCATCATTGTCTTTATCAATTTTTGGCGCATTCTCAACCCAGAAAAGGCAATGAGTGTGTGGGGAACCACGGTGCTGGAATTCTACACGATAGAAGTAATCTTTTATCTTTCCAATTGGTTCTGCAGGAGACATGATAACCTCTTTCAAGAAGTAATGAAATCTTTGGTCAAACATTCGTGCTGCTGTCACAGGGTTCTTTCTCAGAACAAAACATTTTTCTGACCAGTCAAGTTCATAGGCTTTGCGTTTATCCCCCTCTCCTCGAAGTATTGTTTCGATCATTTCTGGCCACCTCATATCAGCCGATGAGAATGAGCAGAACCAAGTTGGCACACCCAGTTGTCTCAACATTGCAAATAAATCTTTTTGAGCAGATTGCCAAAATGGTGGAGTTCCTCTTATGGGTTTCAAGAACCTGTATCCTTCATCACATTTTAATATGCCCCTTAGGGAATCAGCATCTATAAGATTTTCAGCGGTAACATTTTTACCATATGACTGTGATCCCTTTCGCATTGCAATGGAAACATTTGACATAACTTGTTGAATTTCTGAAAGATACTGAGCATAAAATATGTAGTCAGTGTTTTGAGCAAATCGACGATCAGCATTCATTAGGCGTGTGTGCAGGTAACGTGCAAGTGTTATTCTCTCTTCACGATCATCATGGAAGGTAGATGACCCTGAAGGGAACAAAACTGGAAATGATCTCGCTTCATTGCTTTCGTCTGTCAATACTCGGACAGGATTATTTTCCTCAGCAGGTGCAACACAGGTTATCCTTTCAAAATGTTGATCAAGAACTTCTTGGCCAATATCAAGAGGTTGCAGACATGTATTCAAAAGTAAGCCATGCTCTTTCTCAGACGCATTATTCTCAGTAATTTGTGTGTTTGAGCTATCCTTGTCAAGGTCAGGTAATGTGTCAGTGTCAGTATCAGAGTAATTAGTTTCATCTTCTTCATCAATAACTGGCAAGGGATTGACCCATTCTTCATTAAAATTTACATCTCCATACCATCTGTTGTTTGCTTGAAGATATTCTAAGGCATTCTTAACATGAGCTTTGTTGACAAACTGATATTGATAATGGCCTTTGTAAGTTATCTTTCTTTTCAGTTTCACTCTGATCATCTGATCATCTACGTCACATCTCGGTAACATACTGGTGCTTTTCTCAATGTTTGAAGGAACACATACTACAGGTCCGTGTACGCCATGTTGTCCACCTTTTGGTAATGCCATCATTTTCATGAAAGGGATATTCAAGGCAATCAAGTGCTGCTCTAGTTCATTTAGACATTGTAGCTGCATAGGAACAGGGCTCAGTTTTAGGTTGTTCACCACAGCTTCTCCCGGCATTTTACCAGACAAAAGCTTTCTGTGACAAGTATAGCAAATCCACAATGTGCCTTCTGGACAATTGACAAACGGACATTGGTCATCACAACTGTCTGTGCATTTGTGTAGGTAAGTGTCAGTGATGCATTTCTCAGATACAGATGCTACATTGCTTCCTTTGCTTTCATACACAGTTTTTTTGCATTGAACAACCTGTTTTTTGAAAAGTCTTCGATGGCACACTGAGCACACAAATTCTGGACCTTTAGAAATGTTCTCAACAAAGGATCTTGTTACATTCGCCATTATTTTCCTTTCTTTTGCTATTTGTATAACCCTGGCTGACTGTCTCTCTTTCAAATTCTCTCTATGTTCACTACTAGTTTTGTACTTTGCAATGCTTGCGGATTTAACCGATTCCCTGTGTTTTGCATCTTTTGCATATTTCTCAGTACTGCGAGATTTCAAAGTTTTCTTGTGCTTAGGATCTTTGGCATATTGCCGACTGCTATATGTTTTGACTGTTTCCCTGTGCTCAGAATCTGTGGCATATTTCTCAGTGCTATATGTTTTGACTGCTGCCCTGTGTTCAGAATCTGTGGCATATTTCTCAGTGCTATGTGTTTTGACTGCTGCCCTGTGTTCAGAATCAGTGGCATATTTCTCAGTGCTGTACATTTTAAGTGTTGCTTTATGTTTTGCATCTTCAGCGTATTGTTTTTGGCTGTAGTTTTTGACAGATTCCCTGTGTGCTTCATCATCTTTGTATCTTTTTGAACTGGCTTCTTTCTTTCTGTTTCTGAGTTCAGGTACAGTGTTGTACTTTTGTTTCTCTTTCGTCAGTTTACTCTGTTTCACATTCAAAATCGATGTTTCAGGCATATCTTTCTCCAATTTTCGTTTGGCCTGGATATACTCTCTTTTGGCTTTTGCTCGTGCATACTTTTTGTTTGTTTTCTTTGTTTGTTCTTCAGCAGGTGTCACTTCCTGAGAATGAACAGATACTGTGCCATCAAGTTTTTGTATTTTCAAAACTGATTGTCTCTCATCTACAGGTAGCTGATTAGCTTTTCTCTTCCTTGTACGAACACTGCTGTTCAAATGTTTCTCACAATATTTGTCTGTACAGGAGTTTCTCAAGGCACCAAGAGTGTTCACACAAACAACAACTTCGTAATGTGAACCACCAACGTGATTTAGATATATGCATCTGCCAGTGTTTGGAGAGTCTGTGTTTATTTGACTGCTTGGATATCTTAGCCATCTGTTATCAGTGAATGTGCAAATGTCAGTACCGAGCAGATTTGCAGCTGCAAACATTTCTAGTTCTGTTGCCCATGTTCCAACATACCACATTCTTGATTGAGAGATGTATTGTTCAACAGAGTCATAACCTGATCTTAAGAACGGACGGAAGCTTTCAGCATGTTCCCTTAGGTGTGCCACAACAGCCAGTCGGACTTTTCTGTGATTGTTTTCTTTGCCAGAGATTGCAAAGGACAAACTTCTAAAGAAACAATTGCCATCACCTTCAATATGAACTGTTCTACATGGTTCACCAATTTCCACACCAAACTCATGGTCTTGACATTTTGGTAAACAGTGATGTTGAATATGGAGTTGTTCGCACAACTGTTCACATACATCTGATGATATTGGGCAGAAAAGCATCGCATTTTGGTCAATGTTAATTATTTCCACACTATCATCTTGGGAATTCTCGTGTTCATCAAGGTGTACCACATCATGTTCAGCTTCATTTGTTTCACTGGCAGTATCATCAGGCTGATTTCCAGATTTGCTCAAATCATGATCATTCACATGTGCCTCAACATCAGAGGTGATTGTCATGCCTGTCACTTCAAATTGCGTGTCTGCATTTAGGTTCATTGAACGTGCAAGATTCATACAGTGTTGCTGGACCTGAAGGAGGGTTGTGTACTGCATAAGAATACTTGTCCCATTAGGCACTTGTAACCCTGCAGTGTTCCGAGAATGGGAATCAAACACATAATATTTCTCGTTTCTTTTTGTAACGGCAAATGTTGCTCCTCCAAATGTCACAAATGTAGAGTTATGTTCTGAAAACACTGTGCGAAGTGCAGTATCGAGACACTTGACTTGTGGAGTATCTACACTTTCAATAACATCCTTAAGCACAAAGCCACTGAAAGATTCACCACGACTGAATGTGTATTCTTTATCAAAAAGGTTCACGTTTGAACGAATCTCAGAAACCAGAAGGTATGGATTATGAGTTGTTAATGATCTCTCATCTAATGAATCGCCATAGAGTTTATTTCCTATGCATAGAACGTTATCAAGATCATAGCGATCCCATGAGGAAATGTCCAAAATCTGGTTAAACAACATTGCAGATGCGCTGTTAGCAACACATTGTCTACCACTGTTTTGTCCAAATCTAGGGTGACCTTGATGAAAAGTTCCTTGTACACACAGTGGTTTTCTATTTACACGCAAGTGCTTTGATGTTTGGGCATTACCAGTGGATTGTTCATGACTTTTTGCAGTGCTTGTAGATGCACAGTTGCTTTCATTTGTCTTATCTTTGTGGTTTGCAATATCCCTCACAGGCATTTGTTCAAGAACATGTTCAGTGTTTGCGGTTTGATGACAAGTTTTAACGAGGCTGACTTCCTCAATATCATGTTCAAGGATATGTTCAGGGTAAGCTTCCCCCTGATGATAATTTGTATCGAGACTGGTTTCATTTGTTTGATTGCTCAATTGCTCATTCATTTGATTGCTCGTAGGCAAATTTTTGTGTGTTTTGTTAACGGGGTTTCGTTCCCCGGTATCTTTTTTAGGGAGGTGATACTCCTCCATCCGCTGCTGCATCGCCTGCACCTTCCTCCAGTCCTTCCTCCGTGGCATATCTGAAACAAAACAAGAGTAATGAAATTCCCCCCGCCCAACACCTGGAATAATGTTTACACCTTTTCTTTGTTAGTTTTTTGACGCCACACTCAGAAAAATTCCAGCTATATGACGGCGGTCTGAAAATAATCGAGTCTGAACCAGACAATCCAGTGATTGACATGGGTTGCCGAAGACCTAATACCCCAGATCTCTACTGCTAACACCTAAAAATGTAAAGCTCTATCCCTTAACCCATGCTTGCCGTAAAACGCGACTAACGGGATCGGGTGGTCAGGCTCGCTGACTTGGTAGATCCATGCCATCCAACCAATATTGCGAGGATTGATGCTCATGATATCCATCACTGGATTGTCTGGTCCAGATTCGATTATTTACAGACCGCCGTCATACAGCTGGATCATTCCTGAGTGCGGCGTTTAACAACAAACCAACCAACCAACTTTTACATTTTCAAACTTCCCTCAAGTTAAATTCCAATTAAAGGGAAATATGTATTATCTGTATTCAGTATGAAGGCCTGAATCTGGGATCGAGTGGTCAGGCTGACTGACTTGGTAGATCGATGCTCATTATGTCAATCACTGGATTGTCTGGTCCAGACTCGACATGCATCGAACCACAAAAAATAAATGAAAGCAACTGTGCATCAACAAAGTCAGCGAGCAAGACCACCCGATCCCATTACGACAAGCATAGTCACCTTTAACGCAAGCATGGGTTGCTGAAGACCTATTCTACCCCGGAATCTTCCATATAGCGGGAATATTGCTAAGTGTAGAAATTGACACACCACCTTGTTTTCTTTACCCTTTAATAAATTGCAAATATCCCGCATGATTCTCCATTGATAGACAACTTCACTATACAAAAACTGACAACACACATTTCTTCACTCTTTACTGTAACTGTGAAATTCTTGCACAATAGGTCAAATCTCCAACTTGAAGATTCAGCTTGTTGTAAAGGTTTGATTGTTATTTAAGGCCAGATTCAACAATATTTCAGTTCTGTGATAGTTTGTAAATAATCGATAATGGACCAGACAATCCAATGATCGGTCAGAACATTGGTTGATGGATTAACACTATAGTGAGTGAGTGAGCGAGTTGGGTTTAACGCCGCTTTTAACAGTATTCCAGTTATATCGCGGCATGTCAGCTTAATGTGGGTGGAAAGCCCTAAGTGATGCAGGTCTCAGATGTTTACCACTTCGGTGAAACACACGACCACGGGTATGGCGCTGCCAAACCCAGAAACATAACCTGGGCGAACAGGGATTCGAACCCACAATCATAGGATTCTGGCGTACCCAAAGGACGCAACTCTGCACAGCAAATTGCGGCGCCTTAGGCAACCCGTGCCCCCTATTTCAGCTATATGACAGCAGTCTGTAAATAATCGAGTCTGGACCAGACAATCCAGTGATTAACATAATGAGCATCGATGACATGCTTCAACCAAGTCAGACGGCCTGACCGCCCGATCCCGTTGGTCGCCTCTTACGGCAAGCATTGATCTTAATTGTGAGTGAGCGAGTTTTACGCCACTTTTAGCAATATTCCAGCAATATCACGGCGGGTGACACCAGAAATGGGCTTCACACATTGTACCCATGTCGGGAATCTAACCCAGGTCTTCGGCGTGACGAGCGAACGCTTTAACCACTAGGCTACCCGACCGCCCTCTTAATTGTGAAGAATACATGTATTTAACAATCCAACAGTCTTGGATATGCCTGTCTCCCAGACCAAAGAAAATACATTAATTGAGGAGTCCTACTCACGTCTACAATTACTTGGCAAGTCTAAATTGCCTCAGTAGTGAAATTAAGAGTCTGGGCTCCATTTGGATTATATTATACTTATTTTGTAGATATATATTTTTAAATAACAACTTTATTTCTGTGACTAAATGTGAATCTATCTTACCTAGTATTGTTTTAGAAATTACCATGTTGGTTTTGAAACCATTTACTAAAGTCTAAACATACTGTCACTTCAAATTCTAGAAATTGACACAACACCTTGTTTTTTCACCCTTTAATAAATTACAAATATCCCGCATGATTCTTCATTGATCTTCAACAACTTCCAAATGCAAAAACTGACAACACTTTTCTTCACTCTTTACCATAACTGCGACTAACGGGATCGGGTGGTCAGGCTCGCTGATACATGTCATCGATCCCAATTGCGTTGATCGATGCTCATGATATCAATCACTGGATTGTCTGGTCCAGACTCAATTATTTACAGACCGCCGTCATATAACTGGAATATTGCGGAGTACGGCGTACATCAACAAACCAACCAACCAACCACAACTGTGAGATCATATTTGACTTATTTTGTAGATATATATAATTAAATAACATAAGTTTATTTCTGTGACTAAATGTGAATCTATCTTATCTAGTATTGTTTTAGAAATTACAATGTTGGTCTTGAAACCATATACTAAAGTTTAAACATAGAAAAATCTAGAAATTGACACAACACCGTGTTTTCTTCACACTTTAATAAATTGCAAAATATCCCGCATGATTGTTCATTGATCTTCAACAACTTCAAAATGCAAAAACTGACAACACTTTTCTTCACTCTTTACCATAACTGCGACTAACGGGATCGGGTGGTCAGGCTCGCTGACTTGGTTGATGCATGTCATCGATCCCAATTGCGTGGATCGATGCTCATGATATCAATGACTGGATTGTCTGGTCCTGACTCGATTATTTACAGACCTCCGTCATGTAGCTGGAATATTGCTGAGTGGGGCGTAAAACAACAAACCAACCAACCGACCATAACTGTGAGATCATATTTGACTTATTTTGTATATATATATAATTAAATATCATAAGTTTATTTCCGAGACCAAATGTTATCTATCTATTATTGTTTTAGAAATTACCATGTTGGTTTTTGAAACCAATTACTAAAGTTTAAAAATCCTGTCACTTCAAAATCTAGAAATTGACACAACACCTTGTTTTTTCATCCTTTAATAAATTGCAAATATCCCGCATGATTCTTCATTGATCTTCAACAACTTCCAAATGCAAAAACTGACAACACATACTTTTCTTCACTGTTCACAATAACTGTGAAATCATAATTTACTTATTTTGTAGATATATATTATTAAATAACATAAGTTAATTTCTATGACTAAATGTTAATCTCTGTTACCTAGTATTGTTTTAGAAATTACCATGTTGGTTTTCAAACCATTTACTCTAGTTTAAACATCCTGTCACTTCAAAATCTAGAAATTAACAACACAACACCTTGTTTTCTTCACACTTTAAAAAATTGCAAATATCCTGCATGATTCTTCATTGATCTTCAACTTCAAAATGTAAAAACTGACAACACACACTTTTCTTCACTCTTTACCATAACCGTGAAATCATATTTTACTTATTTTGTAGATATATATTATTAAATAACATAAGTTGATTTCTATGACTAAATGTTAATCTCTGTTACCTAGTATTGTTTTAGAAATTACCATGTTGGTTTTCAAACCATTTACTCTAGTTTAAACATCGAAGAATTGAGAAATTGACACAACACCGTGTTTTCTTCACACTTTAATAAATTGCAAAATATCCCGCACGATTCTTCATTGATCTTCAACAACTTCCAAATGCAAAAACTGACAACACTTTTCTTCACTCTTTACCATAACTGCGACTAACGGGATCGGGTGGTCAGGCTCGCTGACTTGGTTGATGCATGTCATCGATCCCAATTGCGTTGATCGATGCTCATGATATTAATCACTGGATTGTCTGGTCCAGACTCGATTATTTACAGACCGCCGTCATATAACTGGAATATTGCTGAGTGCGGCGTAAATCAACAAATCAACAAACCAACCAACCAACCATAACCGTGAGATCATATTTGACTTATTTTGTAGATATATAGAATTAAATAACAAAAGTTTATTTCTGAGACCAAATGTTATCTATCTATCTATTATTGTTTTAGAAATTACCATGTTGGTTTTTGAAACCAATTACTAAAGTTTAAACATCCTGTCACTTCAAAATCTAGAAATTGACACAACACCTTGTTTTTTCATCCTTTAATAAATTGCAAATATCCCGCATGATTCTTCATTGATCTTCAACAACTTCCAAATGCAAAAACTGACAACACATACTTTTCTTCACTGTTCACAATAACAGTGAAATCATATTTGACTTATTTTGTAGATATATATAATTAAATAACATAAGTTTATTTTTGAGACTAAATGTTAATCTATCTTATCAAGTATTGTTTTAGAAATTACCATGTTGGTTTTTGAAACCAATTACTAAAGTTTAAACATCCTGTCACTTCAAAATCTAGAAATTGACACAACACCTTGTTTTTTCATCCTTTAATAAATTGCAAATATCCCGCATGATTCTTCATTGATCTTCAACAACTTCCAAATGCAAAAACTGACAACACACACTTTTCTTCACTGTTCACAATAACTGTGAAATCATAATTTACTTATTTTGTAGATATATATTATTAAATAACATAAGTTAATTTCTATGACTAAATGTTAATCTCTGTTACCTAGTATTGTTTTAGAAATTACCATGTTGGTTTTCAAACCATTTACTCAAGTTTAAACAATCGAAGAATTGAGAAATTGACACAACACCTTATTTTCTTCACACTTTAATAAATTGCAAATATCCCGCATGATTCTTCATTGATCTTCAACAACTTCCAAATGCAAAAACTGACAACACTTTTCTTCACTCTTTACCATAACTGCGACTAACGGGATCGGTTGGTCAGGCTCGCTGACTTGGTTGATGCATGTCATCGATCCCAATTGCGTGGATCTATGCTCATGATATCAATCACTGGATTGTCTGGTCCTGACTCGATTATTTACAGACCGCCGTCATATAACTGGAATATTGCGGAGTGCGGCGTTGAGCAACAAACCAACCAACCAACCATAACTGTGAAATCATA